TATATATTGGTGTCTATATCATTTATGTAAATTAGGAACAATAGTGGTCCTAAAATTGAACCCTGCGGTACCCCACTATGAACGCAGGCCCACTGTGACATTGTGCCTCTTATACTGTAACTACTCACTGCTTCCTATCTGTTAACCAGTTATCAATCCAGGTCGCTACAGTTCCTAAAATACCAGTCGCTTTGAGTTTAAGTAAGAGCTTCTTGTGGGGGACAACATCAAAAGCCTTTTGGAAATCTAAGTAAATGACATCATAGGCCTTCTTATCATGAACTTCCTGAGTAGCTTCCTCAAAAAACTCCCAACAGATTTGTTAAACAGGATCTACCTCTCCTAAATCCATGCTGGCTATCCCTTAAAATGTTATTTGAGTCCAGGTAATCTACTGTGAAGTTAACAGATATTTTCTGATTTTCTCGTTGTGGTTATTCTTCTTCCCTATTACTGTTTGTGGGGATTTCTGTCAGTTCTGTATGATGTGCAAGGAGCGGAGCGAGCAGATTGATGCAGGAAGTAATTTAGGCAAGCTGGAAAAAGTGTTTGAGTCTGTGCTTTACATAAATTATGCAAAGGCTGAGAAAATGAAGAACTTAGCTCAGTCCTTACTGGTGTCCGCTGCATCTTTTGAAGAACTGTAACAAGGAGTGAGAGGCCATTTTCTGATGTTTGTTTAGGGCTTGCGGAAAAGCATCGTGCAGCTGAAAATGAAAGTGCTGTTGTTGGCAAAGAAAGTATGTGCTTGCCTTCAATCCTTCTGGGGCGAAGATCTCATGACTCTCAGAATCTTGTCATTTATCTGGGACAGTTAGCGTCATTCGGCAATAAACGTACAAGCGTGTAATAGGTGTGCACGGCGTTGGTGCTTTAGTTCCCCCTGAATGGAATCAAATCTGCTCTGTAATGCAGAAACTGTGTCTCCATGAATAGTCATTGTTTTTCCATACTGGCTTCTAACATGACGCATAATGGCTCCTCTGTATCGGTAAGTGGGTCATGCTTATATTCCATTTGATTGTTTGTACGGTGCTGACCCATGTGCAGTGTCATTCTGTTTGGTTTTGAAAGGAAAAATTGCAAAACATCAAAATGAAGTGGGATGCGGTTTCTGGGAAATTTCGTGAAAATAGCGGAGGATTGAAATGGCAGCAGTTTCCGTATCCTGGACAGCATGTTGCGGAGCTTAAGAAGCTGTCAGATACCTGGTGGGCTTGGTGTGAGAGAGCACTGAAGGCCCTTCAGAGTATTCTGAAAGCTGTTTTGAAGCTCCTTGATGACGTCAGTGAAAGCAATCCACCTAACCTGGCCCAAGGGGATGCAAAAACGTATAGAAATGTAATCAACTTCATATTTATTCTCTGATTGGAAATTACCATCCCAGTCTTCCACGTCACTGTTCTAGCTTCAGATTCTTTGCAGGAAGAAAGCTTGGAGCACTCCACTGCCTACCAGGTAATTGATGGCATGCTTTGCACATTGCAAACAATGAGCTCTGAGGAGAAGTTTCAGGAAATATTTGGAGGTGCATCAGAGGAGACAGAGAGCCTCAGCACTGCAATAGTTACTGGAGGTGCCTGGTGAGGAGAGAAATGGAAAGTGCAAGTGTGTTTCCAACACAGCCCAAAACCGTCATATGTGAGGAATAAGTTTTAGTCTGTGGAGGTATAATACAGGAATAGTGTGTACTACACATTCTTAGATGCCATGACTGAGGGGCTTAACAGGGAAGAAACACTGGAAATCCCACTGACAATCATTCAGTCCTTCCATTCCTGCTGAATAAATCCTTGTCATAGTCAAGGAAATCTAGGGCCGGCCATCTTTCCAACTGTAGTGAAGATGATAAAAACCTATGCAACACGGCCTGTGTCCGCAGCCTCTGTAGAGAGATTATTCTCAAAACTGCAAACGATTGAGAACAAACTGAGAAGTCTCTGTAGAGAAGAATGGCCTTCTGACCTTCTCCTGTTTACCATAGAGGAAGACATCCAGATAAACCATAGCGAGGTCATCCTATCTTCCAAGATAAGGCACCGAGGAGGATGCTCCTGTAAAGCAGGAGAATGATCTTACTCCCTTGACCAGATGGTCTGTCTGGTTATCTGTCTGTCCTCCTGTACTCTCAACCTTGATGATTTTCTTTGTGTTCTAGGGTCTCTCTCTCTCTCTTCTGGGCCCAGCATGGAGCATAATACCCGATTATAAATATAGTTATTGCTTGTCTCTTCTCCTTTGTTGCATTCAGTCTCTGCTTCACATCACAGTCACACCTCTCATGCCTTTTGCTATGTATCGTGTCTGTTCATTTTCTTCTGTCTCCCTTGGGGTCCCTCATTTCAACTTTCCCCTTCAGTGTGTGAAATTCCTCTCTGTTCATGTTTAAGTTGTGGATCATTGTGTATTGGTAATGTCTCTTCATTATATGTTTGTTAGAAGTCACTGGTTCTTTTGTTTATTTGTTCTGTCAAGACCATTTTAAGTTTGTCTTTGTTTGGGGTTCATTAATAAACATCTCCTTCACTGCATTTTGAACTGGTACCTGTTGAGTTTGTTACGGATAAAGACCATTGTCTGTGTGCATTTGTAATTTCATAAAGTCTGCTGAGTATTAAACATCTGCATGAATGTTAGAGTATTGAAATAAATATACAGTACAAGTAAAAGGTGTGCTACTGTATGTATATATTTTTTTAAGAATATAACATTCATTTTTTTAATATGAATATAAAAAGGGGGGCCCTCTTTTTCACTTGAGCACCTGTTCCTCAAAATGTCTGTGCACAACCCAGATGTAACAAGTAAAACTTGAAATATAATCCTACTGGGTCTACGCCTGACACATCTGGTGAAGAGCTGCATTATGGGAGTTGTAATAGGGAGCAATCCTCAGTGGGGCATTTAACAGCCTCCCAGTGCATCTCAGTTGCCCGGATATAGCAGTTCTGTCTGTTTACAGATTTCCAAACATGAGAGGTCCTTAGTCACTTTTTTGTCTTACACTAACAATATCACTGCCGCAATTTTGAATTTCTTAATGTTTTATTTGCCATTTGTACATGTACAAATACAGGTATATTCGATTGCTTCTTTTCGCATATCCCATTCTGCTCTTCTTTGAGACACACACACTAGCATGCACACATACATACATCTGAGTACGAAGTCAGGCCCTTCATCTGGTGCCTTTGCAATATTTCTGGGGGGGCTTAAGGGCCTTGGTCAAGGGGCCAACAGAGATACTATTACTATTTATTGCTATTACTATTCTGCCAAGTCCAGGGTTCAAACCGGCAACTTTCTGATCACAGGCACAAAGGCCTAACCTTGGGTAAATTGCACATAAATCTAGGGTTATGTCCACTAAACCCAATGGTAGATTATTTTGTATCAATTTTAAGTTAACTCATGTTTTCATGAATGACTGTTACATTTACAGTATATAGTGCTTTTGCAAAACCAATGAGGAGCCAGTTCAATCACCACCACTGTGTAGCCCCCACCTGGATGGTGTAACAGCAACCATTCTTTACCATTACACTCACCACACAGTAGCTAAGGTGGTGAAGGGGCAGGAGAAAATTCACCAATTAAATACAGGGGGTGATTAGGAGGTCAGATTTGAAAGGGCCACAATGAACAATTTATTTAAGGTAACAGGGTACCAAACCTAGTCTTTAGAAAGATGCCCAGGTTTATTTATGACTTCAGAGAGTCAGGACCTCATCCGAATGATGCACCATTTTTTACAGCACAGGGTCCCCACAGACCACAGCATAGGCAAACCTGTTAGTCTCACCAACACCTCTTCCACCACAGCCGAAGCTTTCCTAGTTAGCCTCCCATCTAAATACCAGCCAGGTGCAAACCTGCTTAGCTTCAGATGGATTATCTAGTTCAAACTGCAGGTGGTATGGCAGCTGACAAATCCCTACATTATCACACATATAAGAACTAAAAAAAGAATGACACCCTTTGGAAAATTCATTTCAAAAGCTAATGTTTCACACTGTACAGACAAAGTCACGAGGTTATTCCTAAATATTTTAAGGGAAAAGTGCTTACTGTTTTGCATTGAAAGTTGATATATTTCTATTTTTCTAACTTTTTTTCGTCACTGCGATATTTATAACTACAAAAAATCCCGTGTCGCAAAATGATGCGTATTAAATACGTGACGGAAGTGCGAAAGTCCATTTGGGACACCCTTCGTCACTCGCCCCGCCCCGCCTTGCCAGCGCTTTCATGAGCAGGGCCCCGTTTCCAGGTGATGTTGCGGTAAAGATGGACCCCGGTGTAACAGGCAATATGGTAGCGGGGCTACCCGTAACTGCGCTGTGTCGGGGTTAATCGCAGATCCTCTTTGTTCGTGGGAAGAGCTAAAAAGGGACAGTAAAGTCACAATCAAAATGTCCACCTCCCGGAGAATTTAAAACTGCGCCTGGGAATACACGTTTTCTAATCATGGCCGGACTGATCAAGAAGCAGATCCTGAAACATCTCTCAAGGTCGGTATCCGTCGCCTGGTGAATGTCTGTGAGGATATGGGGACACTGAGTACGTGACGAGCGCCGATTTAAGGCAGTATGATTTAACACTTAGTTAGCTGGTTAGCAGGAAAGCAGAAAATCCAGCGGGGCGAGTCGGCTGACTGGTGACCGTCCGTAATGGTCACGCTTTAAATTCTTTGTCCATCGCGGTTTGACACGATCTGTTTAGCCCTGCTTGCCGCCGACCCGGTCCGCTTTTGCCGGTCCTGGCCCGAATCTGCGTTTCTGAGGATTATTGCGGTGGCGCCGTGCTTAAGTTGTTTCGTAACTTCTCGGAGTGTGACAGCTAATGTCACGCTGCCGTGGGAATGAATCGCGTCCCGATCCGGTTCAAGCCGCGGCTTTGTGGTCGCCAAACCGGGCAGGGCTGATGGTTTCCGTGTGGGCTCGGGTTTGGCACTGGAAGAAGCCAGATCTACCCCCAAATACCGCCGCCGGAGTCAGTTGGAGCGCTTAGAGGTGACTTGGAGGAAGAGCGTCAAGTCATACACCCGGTGCTGCTTCCTACGATCAGAATGCATACACCTGCCTATAAAACAGAACTGATTCACTTAATAGGTGCTGGTTATCCGTAGTGTATCTTTTTTATTTAATTTATCCAAGGGGGAGGGTGACCCTACTTGGAAAGCCTGGTGTATTCCCATTGTCTTCACTGGGCCTGAATTATTTATTGATACATGACGCCAGGGGGAAAATCTGATGGACTGAAGAGCTTCCTATTAATGTTTGGGCCGCGGATAGACGTCCCTCATGATGCTTGCTGATTTGATGAACTGAGTGTGCCTTGGATCGCATTCATAAACTGGCAGCAAATTCTCAGAACGTCACAGGAACACTTATGGTTGCGGTCTGATCATCATTTGGGGGTTCCTTGGTCTAAGGAAGGGTGAGAACGTCTTCTCACAGGACCTCCTGCAAAGGACTCCAAGTCACTTTTGCTCAATTTCATTGCAACTGTCATGAAGCGGTATTAAAGCATACTAAACACCAAAGCTCGTGATAATATTTGCAGTGACATTTACAAAACGTTAGCTTGTCTCGACTGGAGAAACTTAAAATGTTTTTGTTGCAATAAAACTCTTTCTCTGTGATCCATGTCAACAGATCTTTCCCTGAGTTTCAGAAGGCCTTCTGAATAAAGACCAAAACACCTGGACCAGACTGACTAACATTTAAAGGGCAGTCTGTGGCCTCCTTCACCGCAGATCAGGCCCTGGGTGATTGGCTTGCCTCTGGCTGCTGCATTTGTGCGTGTGCCTGTATCTTTATTAGTGAACTTTACCCAGTGAAACTACAGGTCAAACAAACCAGCCTGTCAGTGTGGTTTAGGCTTAGTTTCAGGCCATGTGCACAGAGCTCTGGCACGAACAGATGGGATAATAAAATGCCTGGCATTTTCCCTACTTTTGTTCCATTTGATTACACTGATTACCACTACAATTTTGCAGGTAGTTATCATGCTTTAATTGCTCTCCTTTAATGTGTACTTTTTTATTTTGACATTCTATAGAAGAGAAAATTATTTACATAAGGGCTAGAAACAGGCTGCAACCGCAGGGTGATTGACCCCAACCCGAAGGACACCTCTAGAGCCAAAAATTTGACAGAATTATATAAAACTGCATTTGAAAAGAGTCTGTATATGAATTGAGAGCAGCATACAGTTATGGAAAGAGAGAGCAACAGTGGACTGTAAAATTTTGAGAGTCAGAATCTATTAATGTCTATTTCTGCTATTTTAGACTGAGAGCTATAGGTGATTGTCAGGATGGAACTGATGATAAGGAAAATAAGACAAATAATGTGGGTTAGAAGTGCAACCTTAAAATAACCGTTAATGTCCAAGATTTCTTAGAGAACATCAATGTTTATTATGCATATCCATGTTTAGATTTGACACCTATTTAGCAGATTATTTTGCCCAAAGCAAGTCAGGCACTCAGTACATTACTGTCTTAGGCCTTAATGTGTCATTTTTATGTCTTAGATATTTGTATTCTATTTATTAATATTTACCAATGGAAATGATTTTTCATCCTGCTGCTTGACCCATGTGTCATAGAGCTGAGATGATGAAGATTATGGCTTTAATGGTACACAGAAGTTTTGGGTTCACAAACTCCGGCCTCCGGTACTGCAGGGAAAACAGAATTTTTGAAATGATGTATTGTTAAAGCTGCAAACGAACAATTAGGAACAGTTGTAAAACAAAGGCACTGCATCTGTTGAAGTGTCTGAATAACCAAAGAGATGCTTATTTGCACATTCTAAAAATAAATGCGTAAAATAAAAATAAAAAATCATCATCGATCATAATGAACTAAACCCCGATCCTCTACCGTCAAGTTAGGTTGTATTTCTGTAGAGATAAACGTGCTTGAGCATGATTGTCTCTCATCCTCCATACCCCAATGGTCTGTGCTTACACTGCTCTTAAAGTTCTGGGCCCGAGGATGCTTTTGTCATCACCGTTCGACATTTGTGTTGAGAATATAGGAATAGCGCAATCGCACAGCACAATGAAGCTCATGATTAATGTCCTTATTTTGTGGCTTATTTAGGGTCGTTTTGATACAAGGGCCTCTTCTAGATTTTTCAAGTATGCAATGCAGCGATTTTCATTTTATCGCGTCGCGTATATAAGAAGATAGGCCTGTATTTTACCAAATATCTAAGACTTTTGTTTGTTGCATCCAGTTGTTCCTGGAAACTCTCGTCAGCCCAAATTTCCTGCAGACACCAAATTTACTGCAGTACCTCTGCCACAGACCAAAGCGATCCCTTTGCTCCATCCATCCTCCAACCCGCTTATCCTACTGGGTCGCGGGGGGTCTGGAGCCTATCCCGGAAGCAACGGGCACGAGGCAGGGAACAACCCTGGACAGAGGGCCAGCCTATCGCAGGGCACACTCACACACCATTCACTCACACACCAGTCACTCACACAAGCACACCTACGGGCAATTTAGGAACTCCAATCAGCCTCAGCATGTCTTTGGACTGTGGGGGGAAACCGGAGTACCCGGAGGAAACCCCACGACGACACAGGGAGAACATGCATGCCCCCCCTTTGCTACAGCGTTTGTTAAATATTTGTCGCTCCCCGATCTGTACAGCCTATCTGATCCGTTCCTTCCGGGTCCAGTTCATGTATGTGTACATGTGCTCGCTTTGCGTGTCAGCTGCATCATCGACGTCATGTCTGTGTTCTGTGCCTGGGCACCGTTAGCGATCACAATAGATGCATACCGTTCCCAAGTCCAACTAACCCTGCCTGGTCCCATCTCTTCAGGCTGGGAATGGTTTAGTGTACCGTGCCTTTTTTCTCACACTAGTCAAATGAACTACACTTAGGTGGTGGCTTCCTTTTCATTCTTCTGGGTTTGGATAGAGACAGCTGCCCTGAGTTCAAGGGTAGAGTGTCCCAATCCTGTCCTGGGTGTCCACTGTGTGCTCTGGTATTCGTTACAGTCAAGCATTAGGCCAGTTAAGTCGGCCAGTTAAATTCAAAGACGTACGTTTTTGTTTAATGTTTTATTTTTGTCCCCCACCTTGTTTTAGGTAGTCTCACAAAGTTGTTAGGCCGAAAATTTGCAGAACAGGAATGTGAAATTCCTCACAGAAGAAAACCTTTCTCGACGTGCCTGATTAACGTTGTGTGGGTTACTTAACTTCTCCTGCCGGTTCTGAAATCCTGTTCTTCAGGCTGGTCTTCAAGCTTGCCTGCCTCTCCCTGAAATGTAGAGGGCTGTCTGTCCTTCCTTGTTCCATTGCATCATGCGCCTGCTGAAAACCAGCTGCTGCTCCCAGGATAGGTTCTGCCCAGTTCCGCTGGAGCCAAACTCCCGTCTCAGTCTCTCGCTTAGGTCCCCACCCTCTCCTTCGGTCTCCTAAGCACTAAATGGCCCCAGGATTGTGTTTTCAAGCCAAGCATAAGCCAACCTTAGTTTGTTATTTCTACCAGGTACACTCTGCTGCGTTAAGAGAATAGGCCCAGACGGCCTACTGTGATTGGAGGATAAGGTCCAATAGCTCACTGTGACCGTGAATCTGGTCTTCATTTAGCGCTGGTGATTGAATGTAGGGGAAGTGATGTCACCATCCCGGCCTTAAGTCTAACAACAGATGATGCGAGAATGTAGCTGCTGGCCTGGCAGGTAACCTGAGTTTCCAGTGACCTGATAGCATGGACCCCCCCCCCCCCACACACACACACACACATACAAACACTTGACTGCATAAGTATATAAATATTTTACCATGCTGTACCTGCTCCGAGAGGATCATTGCCCCATTTGGACCAAGCAGAGCAGGACCAACCTGAGCATGCTTACGATGTAGCTGAACCGTTAGCTTTGTGGCTTTGAACCGCGAGATGTCATATTTAGAAAAACTGTGTCAGCGATTTGCACAAGGCAGGTTTCTGCACCCTGTGATTGGAAACGGGGACTTTAATATCAGAGGTTGTGACACCCACGCCATAGTGGAGTGACATTTCGCAGCCCAGAGAAAGTGCTGCCCTGTCTCCTGTGTGTCTGTGTGTCTGTGTGTGTGTGTGTGTGTGTGTGTGTGTGCCTGCGGTTTGCAGACCTAAAGTCAGTGGGAGGTTTCTAAAACAGAGTTTTAGTCCCAGCAGCCACAGGGAGTAAACACACCTCACATTCTCCATCATTACGGCTTAAATTTCCACTGCTATGCCGATGACACATAAATTCACACTAACCCTCTCCAAACTCCGCCCCTCACTCAACTTTGCTGCTGCTGAGACCCTCATTCATGCCTTCATAACCTCCAGACTTGATTACTGCAATGCCCTGCTTATTGGTCTCCCAGCAAAATCATTAAACAGACTGCAACATATCCAAAATTCCACAGCAAGACTTCTCACCCGTACACGAGCATGGCAACATATCACTTCCATCCTCCATCAGTTACACTGGCTTCCAGTACAATCTCGG